AATCGCGGCTACGAATGGCTCGAAAGCTAACTGCCAAGCCATCAATGTACTAATTACAACCCCCAGCGGTGGTTATAGGAGCTGCTAATTATAGTGCGCATGCGGGTGATCGCTACGAATTATAAGTATTGCGCAATTTGTGCATATCTCACACTATTCCACGGTTACCTTTGTTGAAGGGTTCTCGACAGAATCCGAAATGTTAGGCAAATCATCTTGTTCCAGCTATTGCATCTTCTACTCCTGATCTTAAAGTGGGGGCATACCGGCTTTTTAGAACTCCTAAGATATTGAAACTATTGCAAACCCCATTTTTTATTAGATTAGAAACCAATATGTGCTGGTTCAGGTAACCAGACTTTGTTGATAAAACTGAATTTCAAGTTGAATTTATTGACTTTATAAGCCTCTTGTAAACCCGTCTATCAGGTACATGTCGACTAAACATGCATTATTTTCATCTTGCTCCTCCTTCGTTTCCCATAAGTCATTTCTTGGAGCCACACCTGTCCGAAGAATCGTACTTATTACCTTTTTTCCTCTTCTAGATTCTTTTGTGTTATTTCATGGCTAGCATTCTGATCTGACTGATTACAAGGCTTTTGTCACTATGACCTATTCTTCAACCCTGGCAGGAATTGGAATTTGTGGAGTCCCAGCAGCGCGAGTTGGAGGGTCTTTTGGAGCCATTGGAGCAGGCAGCTACTGACCTACCACCCACTCAGCAGCACGCTGACGCTGAGCGCGAAGCTATCTTCCAAATGTGCGTCAACACTGATCTTGAGCTGGGTCAATTGCTCACAGACTTACGCGAAATGGCTGATCGGGTGAATTCCATCACAAGTGATATCTCCGAACCCAAAATAGCGTACGATGGGACTGTCTCAGATTCAGCCTCTAAGTCCACGCTGGGGTCGACTAACGTAATTGGTCAGGTGACGCGGATCCTCAATTCGCACATGCATTCGCTTAGTTGGCTGAACCAAAACACACGTAAGTCTTGCATTAACATTTAACTTCTACTGACAACTGATAAGTACCTTTTGCGGTAGATTAAAATTTATTAACACAACCCACTGTAATAACGCCATAACAGTAACAGTAATATTTCGCCTCCTGCCACTCACCAGTCCCTTTTCTCATCTTTTAGAGGAGTTAATGGAAAAGTTGAAATTCCTCACTGCCTCCTGAAGGACCTCGAGCGTTGTCTATCATATTTGTACAACTTCTTACACTTTTCAAAAAATACATCTTACTAATTAACTAGCCGTTTTTCTGCTTTCCCCGTTCATTATTTCATTACTGGCTGCTTGAAATGTCGACGAGCAGACTTCTCATCATTTCGTTCGTCGGTAAGCGTTTAAGAGAACTACTTAATTCTTTGCACCCGGGAGGACTTGCAATGCTTTGGTTGTCTAGTTGGCGAACTCGGCAGTTACTAAAGGGATTACAGCTAACTCCCCGTTGGCGTACCCACGCTAACTCTGTCTATTGAATCCAATCGACCATGACCACACTGATCCACTATTTTTGCCTCATACCTAACTCCCCAGAAAGACGTCGATGGTTTGTTGTTGCTTAAAGTCGTGTGTCATTGATCTTCACCGGGCTGGCCTATTGGTAGGATAAAGTACGTGCCTTCTGTTTGCACCTGGCCTCGCAGGCTATCACCTGGTGATGGGCAATGAGTAATCGCATACTGCTGACAAATACGGGAGACTATTTTGAGTTAGCGAACTACGAAAAAGTAAAGCACGAATGACACCTTCCACTTCCTTTTCTGTAGCTTATACTGCTACAGTAATTATAATAGTATCTGGCAGAATTAATCGAATCTGGAGGAAAGGTGTCAGATCGTGACTGGTCCCGTCCGAACAGCGCCAGAACATGGGCGAAACAGACGCCAGAAACTACAACACATTTCTGTCAGATTTTGAGGCCTGGGTACTGCGCATTTATTCTGCTGGCGTTTGTAGTCTCCCTTCAGTGGTTTACACAAATTCGGAGTCCGAACTGACATGTCTTGTTTCGACTGATTTCCCCAACATTCGTTTCGTAATTGCAAACTATCTACAATAGGATTTCCTCCCTTCGGATCCAAATGTTGTTTTATCCGGAAAGTGTATGTCGAGCAATGCTCCACTTAGGTATCGATTATAGCAAAATTGCCGTGTCAGCATGACTCGTCACTTGAACTGTGCCTCCGTCCTCAATACACGTCCTGCCTACAGCCCGTCCTCTGTTTTGCCTACATGATACTATGCCTACAGACAGCCTTCTGTTTTACCTACATTAAATTCGTCCTGCCTACAAACTGCCTTCCGTTCTCAGTGCATAACATTATGGAATCCACCATTGCGTAAAAAGTAAGCTGACCGCCCAGACAGGATTTCCTAAGCTTTCAGCTAGAATCCACCAAAATGACTACTAGGCTCACTTAATTGTTAAGGGGGTTGGCAGATTTGCCTATTTCAGTTGATCTAATTATGAAAAATCCGCGGCCTGAGTGGGAGTCGAACCCACACAGCAGGGAAGACTTTTGCGCAGCCAACGCTCTACCATTGACATCGAAGTCGGGCGGGTGAGAGAAGAGGAAGAGTTAGGTCGATGCAACGCAAGCATGCTATAATCTAAAACGAACCTGCACGTAAGTCATCGTCCCTACACCATCACACGATGCACATCAACGAAATCGACGACCGAACTGTCACAGTTATTTAACATGATGCCAGATCGAGCTTCGAACTCCGTGGCTAGTATGCGGTGCGAGATGCGAATTCCTCGGTTTACGGTTCAAGTACAGTAAGTAGCCCACCGGCTGGGGACGTTCACCAAAATTATGTTCGCTATTAGAAAGGATTACTTACAATGAACTGTAATACTGGTTATCGTGTACCATATTACCACGATATTTCATTCAACGCAGAATATTGCCCTTTTAAATGAGCTTCTTTCTGAGCGTCTGCAAAACCTACACCCAGCACAATGTATGACCCTTCTTACATGGAAAGTATAGAGCATGCAGTTTGCGAACCGTAGATCCATATACAACTGCAGGTGGAGCTCAAAATTGTTTAGGAGGCTGAAAATGTTTTTTTTTACTGCAAAATACCCTGTTTTCAAACAGGCGTAATTTTGTACCAACTGGATACAAACAATACTTTTTTGCACTCCTTCTGTAAACCATATCTCAATATCGCCAACAATGGGTGAAACATCTTACTACGCAAGTAGCCACCTTTACCGGGTGTACTTTTTGCAGGCGGCCGGAGGGCAGCTAAGTTAAAAGTCGGTATCCTGTCGTAACTGGAAAATCCTTGGATTATATTGCACGACAGTCAGTATTAAAACCTCACCTAAGGAATATCTTTTAACCGAAGACACATTTCAGAATTTCAGGCAACGTTTCACGAGTTAGGCCAGCCACCATGCCTCTCCCGGCCAACCCTTTATAGTCATATTTGTTCTACATTTTTCATAGTTCGCATTAAAAGAGGCTCTAAATCCTCTTAAACTCCCACTTATCTCCACTCTGACCCGATGGCTAAACTGGTACCGTGAAACTCGGGGCCACAGTGTCTGTTGATAATCAAGAATGGATATAACCTGTGGTAACCCTTCAGAGGGACGAGAACAGTTGCTTGTGAGATCTTCTACAGATAATTGATTATTTTGACCTTTTCGTTGCTTAATGGCGCTGTAAACGTGAG